AAAATAATGCATTTTGACCCCCAGTGCGTGAAGGACCAGCCAGTGAGCGCTTTGGCTCAAATTAAATATATTTTCATAATACACATTGATAAAAACACGTTATGGTAGTTTAAGCACCCTGATCAGTCCTCAACAAGATTTGACCAAATAAGGAGAAAAATATGCCATCAAGGTACGAAGACTTGATCCTGTCAAAAATCTCTTTGTAGAATTGCTGCACATACAACATACTTTCAAAATATGATCAAAGTATAGTTGTGATCTTTTTGTATTGTAATTAAAATAATTATATCACTTGTATGTTAACACATAAGAAAAAGAAAAAAATATTGGGTAATAGTTTGCAGCTCGTGCGTAATGCTGTGCCTTCTTACGCGTAATTTCCAAAGCATTGGAAAAACTGTTTAATTTAGATAGTTAGTCGACCCTGAATTGTTTTCAAACACTATTATCCTTGCTGATTTTAAAGGTGATTCAGATATTTTAGAAGATTAATTGTGCAAATAAAAGAGGTCTAAAACAGGCAACGCCTACAAACATATTTTTTAATATATCGGCATGTGACAAGCAATAGCCTGAAGTACATTCTGCACAAAATGCTCTTTATTTGACTTTTAAACAGTGGTATTAAGCATGAACTAAGAACCCCTCTAGAGAAATATCACACACAAGCTTATTTTTAGTTAACTTGAATGTGTTCAAACATAGATGGATTCCGTGTTTACGGTCCCTTTGCCCAGGACTTCCAGGTTTTTCCAGGACATCTGAATAACACACAGGAGCTGGAGCCAGCACTATTGGGCAATTTCTTGAGATGTGAAATCATTTAATACTTCTAATAAAAAAGTTAACACATTGTTGTGAAAGCTTTATGTCCTGGTGGTTGAAAGAGAAATACACTCTAGAGATTTCTCTAAATGTAACAGCAACACACATCCTTATCTTATAAGCTATTGTTGCCACCTCAGTCGCTGCACGCTAGGTGCATTCACTGAGACCTCAGTAAAAAAACAGGGCTCTTTAGTGTTGCTTGAAACTGTTCGCAGCTCATACAGCCAAGTTTAACTGCCCGACTTACATCCAATTAAACTTATCTAGGCCATGAGGGGACAGTAATATGATTACACGGGCTTCCTGCATTTAGCCTTGACTTCAGCTAACTGTGAAGCAGTGTCTTTGTGAACTGCACCCATTGTGTGTGTGTGTGTGTGTGTGTGTGTGTGTGTGTGTGTGTGTGTGTGTGTGTGTGTGTGTGTGTGTGTGTGTGTGTGTGTGTGTGTGTGTGTGTGTGTGTGTGTGTGTGTGTGTGTCGTTGTGTTTGTGTTGCTGTGTTTGTGTGTGTGCTGAGTGTTGTATCGTCTGGCACAGGATTTATCGAAGGAGCCAAAACCCTGCAATATTAAGGAGCGCCATTTTTGAACAGAGGTTTTTTTAAACAAGATGGTGACACCTAGGTTAACCATTGTAATTATGTTTCTAGATAATCCATAGCTTACATTCCACAGACAAAGTCGTAAAGTTAGTGCTCCAACAGTGATATGTAAGCAAATAATGGCAAATGTTTGCAACACCTTCTTTTTGGAGCACAACGCAGAACGTTTTGTCTATTACTTAGAATAGCCAGGACATACATTTACAATAATATTTATCATTGTATGAGTCATTTAAAAATAGAATAAGTAGAGGACTTCTAACTTAGATGCAGCCACTTTTGCGTGCAAACTCTGCATACTTAGCCGGCTTATTTGGTGCAGCCAAATTCTACTTTCCTGGGTCCTACTGCTAGCAGAATATCAGCTGCTGTGAGTCCATCTAAGGAAATTAACACATGGTAAACCTTATTTTTTGACTCATGGTCTGAGCGCACCAAGACAAAAATAGCCATGTTTAAACCAGCGGAATACGGATATTTCCAAGTGATGGCCGTTGAATGGTCATATTTTGTCACATTATGACAAACCCTGCGACTTTAAGGCAGCCAGGTATTTTCCATTCGTTTAAAAGCTTTATTTCGTCTTGTGTACGTAGCCTTTAAACTTATCTTTAGCATTTTTCAGTTGTCTTGATTAGAAGCCCTCACTTTTAAATGTTATTAGTTTATCACTTATTCATATCTTCACATTACTTATTTATACAGTGCTAATACGCATCATTGTAATGATTATGATGAGGAAATGATTTGACAAAATGGTTTTGGACTATCAGTCTGCTGGAAGAGAAGTTTGTTATTTATTTTTATTGTTGTGTTTTATTTGTATTTCCTTCTACAGATGAGATTGTGATCAGAGCAATGTTGACATACTGATACGTTTACATTTAATTATTCAACACCTTTATTATAGGCCAATTATTATGGCGGCCTTTCAATTTTAAGGAATTCAACTGCAAATGCAAGCCTCACGTTTATTTTGTTTTAATTACAAAGTGCACTTTATCTTTTATAATGTTAGAAGGAACTGACATTTTGATGTGCCAATTATTATTGTTATGCAAAACAAAACACGAATGCCGCCGCATGTGTCGAGCATGTGTCCATAAAGGCCACAGGCCAGAATGTTTATACAAATATTTATATAGCTGCGGTTATTAATCTACTTAAAAACCAGTAGCTGTGCTTCACTGCACACACTTATATTTTCTTGTTTTTTTCGTATTCTTGGTCACATTCATGATCTCTTTATTTTTGTTCGATTGAAATGTTTATCAATGCAAAACATGTCAAAACACAGAATTTGAGGCTTTGTTAGGCTATGTTAGTTTAGCCGAAATTGCTACAATTTTAATAGTTTCAAAGCCAAGCTGCAGAAAAAAAAGTTATTCTGTTCGGTCTGGAAATGTAGTTGACCAGTGTTTTTTTTATTAAAGTTGTAGAATATCTAGTTGCTGAAATACAAATGATTTTCATCCTCAAGGTTTATGGTTTTTAAGGGATTCAAAGGGATTTAGCGTTACTACAGCCATTCGGGGTTTTATGGTGGACGTAGAGAGAATTTTAGTGGTCAAATTCAAGTGCTGTGTCTGGACAGCTGTCTGCTTTCTTTGTACTTGGATGCAGGATGCATCATGTGAGACAACCTTTTGTCTGTAGAGGTAGTAAACAAGCTAATGCCAATGCCACCTTTTTCACAAATACGCCTGCAATGTACTCTCATGTCCAATCCTGAGGTCTAATAATGTTGCTTGTTGTTGTCCTTGCTGTTGGAAGTCACCGACGACAACATTTGGTTTCCATTTTTTTTAAAACAACAAGTGTCATATAAGTGATTTTAATAAAACACGATAGTGTTATTAAAGTATTGGATAATAATTCAAAACTCTATTGCAACATTTAGGAAATAGCCTACAATGGGCCATCATATTAATTTCACCTTGTGATAGTATCAGTTAGTCTATAAAAAATCGTAAATGGCCCTCAACAGTACAATTAAAAGTTTACAATGACGCAAGAAAGCACACGCATGCGCACCTTTTCACCAAACTGTTAATTTATGACATTTTATTTAAAATAAAAACATTTATACAAAAAAAAAGTTCAAAGGACATACCAAAATGTTCACATCAGCTTGGAATATCAGCTGGGACTTATTTCATTTTAGAGGCAAATGTCGGATATTCATTGTGCTTGTTCAATAGGGCCATTCTGAGTGGCGTATAAGTAGCCGTTTACAAGAAGACTAATTGTTGTTCTGCTTTGAAGCTTATCGATTTAAGATGCAACCCAAAACATTTAATTTAGATCAACTACTGAGTCCAATGAGACGACATATGCCAACATATCAATTTGAATATTTTCAGAAGAAGAGGGTCACATATCGCGGAGATTTTGTGGGCGGTGTTGTCAATAACCACTCCAAAGGGAATAACGCTGAATCCAGCAATTTGAGGGGAGTAATTACGTTTTTCTGAGTTTGTGTTTAAATCGTCAGGGTGCATTTCCCCACTGGATGAGATACAAGGTCCCAGGGCTTCACTGGTAGTACTCCTGCAGAAACTCCTGCAATGTGGTCTTGAATTGCACAGTGGTTTCCAATGGACTCTGTCATGATCGAAAGTCAAAGGGAATAATGAAAACTGGTCCATTACTTTAATTTACAGTCAACATGCATGCTGTGCATCCTACATTGCCCAACCGTTGGTTCAACTTCATTTCACAGCCTAATTGTACACAACCAGTTTAGTGTTGCAAGATGTGTCATTTAGTGTAAGAGATAAGACCCTGAAAAACGGATGATTAATACATATTTTGCATAATTTTTGATTGATAATCGTGTGTGCAGCAGAATCGTGTGGTATAGGGAATAACAGGAGATAGGAGAACAAATATATATAACCCTTGTGGAAAATATCATGCATATTCACAGACCACAGTGTTAAAAGTTGTAGAAGAACACGACTCATTCACTGTGATTTGTTAAACTTTTGTAAAAAGTGAAACTATGATTAGGCTCCTGGGATTTATTTTTTTAACAGGCTTACTTTATTGGCTGTATATTCATTGATTCTTCTAATCAATCCATACTCTCTTACTGCATATGTTGTACTGTGCGTAACAGTGTCATATATCATTTTTCATTCTATTATTACAATATTGAAATTACAATAGTTGGTGATTTGGAAATGTTTCTTAATGATGATAATATTAATGAATACAACTAATTTAATAATAGTAATAATAATTATCTTACCTGCAAAATTCCATAACACTATGAAATACATGTCACTGAGTGCACCCTGCAGTTTGTGCTATGCCTGTTTAAGGAGCTGTAGCCGTTTAGCTAGCCTACCTCCAGTCCATAAACATAAACACAGCACATATCTCTCTAATTGTCATAACCCAGCAAGCAGGAATCTGTTACTGGTTTTCTGTGTGTGCCTGTGGTGTTTGAAAATTATTCGTTTGAACCTCCTCGATCTTACCTAAAGCCAACCACTCCTACACATCCAACTCTTCCAAATTGATATATGACAATATCTACTTTCGATCACGTGTCTGCGGGGCGACTTAGACGGATTGCGCGTCATCTCGCCTTCCCAAATTTTCCCCTTCTGCTGCAGCTCGTATCCAAAACATCTATCTATAGTACGGAGTACGAGAGAGAGAAAGATGTTTAACTCGGTGAATCTGGGCAACTTCTGCTCCCAGACGCGCAAAGACCGGACATCCGAGTTTGGGGACAGGACGGGCTGCGCGTCCAACATCTACCTCCCCAGCTGCACCTACTACGTCCCCGAGTTTTCAGCCGTCTCCTCGTTTCTTCCCCAGGCCCCGTCCCGGCAAATCAGCTACCCTTATTCCACAAATCTGTCTCAAGTGCAGCCGGTTCGGGAAGTTTCATATGGCTTGGACCCTGCTAGTAAATGGCACCACAGAAGCAATTATGCATCGTGCTACTCGGGAGAGGATCTGGTGCATAGGGATTGTCTCCCACCATCCACCATGACAGAAATGCTTATGAAGAACGAGAGTGTGTACAGCCACCACCATCATCATCACACCCATCCGGGTTCCAATCACCCCTCCTCGGGTTTTTACTCCGGCGTGGGGAAAAACAGCGTCCTCCCGCAAGGTTTCGACCGCTTTTTTGAGACCGCATACTGCAGCAGCACGGACAATCAGTCAGACAATTGTTTACAAAAGGGCGAGGGGGGAAAGCTGGAAAGCGACTCCCAACAGCAGCAGGAGCAGCCAATAGCCCCTGTAGCCGGAGCCCCGGAGCAGGAAAAGGACCCAGACGATGAGGAGGAACATACAAATTCAGGCTCATGCACGTCTTCCTCCGCAACAACCAAGGACGGCACCGCCAACAAGAGCAGCCACTCGAGTAGGTATACCGAAGCTGTAAAATGGGGGAAGGTTAAGGGGACTAGCCCGGTGTTTTTGTCGGTCAGATTTTATGTGGAGTTTTATAAGCATTCAAAGGATTTTATTATAACCCTACAAAGCTCTTTCTTGCTACGAGAAGAATTTTTACGATGGGAAAGCGCTTTGAAAAAAAGAGGATGTTATACACAGACGCCTCTATGGTGAGAGTCTGTGAAATTTTTAAGAGAGAGCTATTGTGACAAATGTTAACTTTGATCATGAACTTGCGTGGGGAATTTTAAAGGATTTTCTCGTTGGGCTGTCGAGAGTAAAAACCAATTGGGCAGAACATTGCTTTTGGCGTCTTGTGAATTTTCTTTTAGCACTGGGTTTGCCCGCAAAAGACATGCTACACAGTGTATCACTGACTTTACGGTTAAATGCGTCCTTTTATAGACATCTATCTAGATAACCATCTATCTAATGACAGATTAGAAACCGTTTCCCCCGTTTACAAATAGGCAGTAGGTTAAATGAATCAGTGTTAGATAATCCAGTGTTTTGCATCGTCCATATGAGAAGAATGCATGTGTCTGCAATTTAAGCTATTACATTATTAGCCTCTTAAAACAAATCTTAATTCCAAATCCATGTCCCCATTCAATATGACTTCCCTTGATGTAAACTGTGTTCACTGTTAACTTCAATATCAAGATTTTAGTAAAATTATTAATTTAAAAATTCCTAAATAGCTGTTAGATATTGGTGTTCAACCTCATGGACATTCCATTGGCCCAACCAGGCTGCAGACACAAGCTAACTGAGACTGACCCTCTTCCCCACAGAAAACATAAAAAAACTCCATCTATTTCCCAGGTCACCAGTTTGATAAGAAGTTATAAGGCCACAGGGGTCTACATAGGCACCATTGGTGATGCATTTTAACTCACTGCCAAAAGATTGTGTAAATAGTTAGTTTAGCTCCAGAGGAATGTGGTGGACATAATGCGGTGAAATACTTTTGTTGTTGTATATTTATAACAGATAAACACGTACTTAGAGCCTGTAAGTTGATATTATTTCCTCTAAGCGATTCGGATATTTAACACTCTTTATGGCTGGTTTATGTGATAGCCTCAGCCACTTTGCCTTGTTGACTGAAATGTTATCATTACGAATGTCACTGAAACTGAATGTATATGCATCTGGTGAGCCTAGTCACATCAGAACTAAAGTCCCCTGCTTTGTATAAATATTATTATCGTTAATGCCTGTGATGTGTTGCAATTAATACTAATAATTTATTTTAAATGTTTGTTTTTTTCAGGCACTCCTCGCACAAGGAAGAAGAGGTGTCCATATTCTAAGTTTCAGATTCGCGAGCTGGAGCGGGAATTCTTCTTTAACGTTTACATCAACAAAGAGAAAAGGCTTCAGCTCTCCCGAATGCTAAACCTCTCCGACCGTCAGGTTAAAATTTGGTTTCAGAATAGAAGAATGAAAGAAAAGAAGCTGAGCAGAGATCGCCTCCAGTACTTCTCTGGAAACCCCCTATTGTGAGCAGGAGCAGAACGTGTCACAATCTTTGTCAGTGACATTGAGGCCCACTCTTATCTCATTGAATTGTAATTGTGGGCATAACCATTTTCTAAAGGAGCCCATATCACCAACAGTGCAATGTTAAAGTGGACAGTGGGAGGAATAGGCCTGCATGGGATAAAGTCGCCATTTTCTTATTGCCCCATGGGCGGCGGTGAATTTCTTGCTGGTCCCCAGAAAGGCCTACATGGTTAGAATAATCATTTATACCTATGCTGTTCTTGAATATGTCTCTCTATTTATCACGATTCTTTATTGTGTTATTATATTGTTCATATAGACATATTTGTTGTTAAAATATCAAATGTAACAAACAGTTTAAATCCTTATTGCGCAGACAACTTTTAGCTCTTCCCCGTCCCTATATGTATATAGCATATCATTATCTAATTATTTCTTGACCAGAGTATGAACAAATTATAGCAAATATACTGGCTACATTTTTTTCACCATTTAACAACTGTGACGTCCAATCTGTGAAATTATATCCCCCTGTACATAGTAGCCTATGTGCATTCGTGACTGTAAATAGGCGTATATGTTGAATTTCCTTTTCCCCTATCCCTACTGCTATTTTTCAGTACACTGCCCATACAACAACTTTAACGCCAACACTCGTTAAATTATTTGCTTAAACATTGGTGCTTTGGATTTCAGAGAGGAGCAACAGATTATTGGCCTGTGTATCATTAATATAATACCTATGAAATAAACAAAAACATATAGGCAAAACTCAACGACTTTGTTCTTTTTGTGCCATCATAATTGCAATTATAATATGTATTTATTCATAAATGAGTGAGTCAGAGCTTTTTGGAAAAAGCAACTGCCTCATAACTGTTTCACTTAAAACTGGCCCTCATACATAACATTAGCAAACTTTAAACTTGTGTTCAGGCTATAGTTCATGGCGATACACGATTTTGCTGTGGCAGATTTGGTGGCGGTTGTGAAACTAAGGAAAAGGTCCGACGGGCCTACACTTGTCAGGTTTTCGGCGATTTTAAGATAACAACACTCTGGAAGATCATGTTTAAATGTAATCAAGCATGTTAAACGAAGATAGAGCTCAGATCTTAGAAATGTAGAGAAAGAGACTAGAATGATAACCTCTTTTAGTGCCCACTAAATGGAATCGCCACTCTTGTAGTCTAGACACTGCCATAAAGACAGGCACTAAATGGCTATTTTTTTCTCTTAATTGCACCGTCTGTTCGGAGGGAATGGCGTCCACTTCCGCAGTAAATAGTAAACAAGCAACCCTGGATGTCCAAGAGGGGGAAAAGAGGTTTCGACATGAACTAGGTCTGTGTAGACTGTAACGTCAAACCATCCCAACCCCCTCTGCACACAACCGCCATGCATGTCCGCTATTCCTCTAATCTCAATATTGGACAACCGCGGCAAATCCAGAGGACAGATTTTCCATTGAGTAAGTTTTATTTATTTATTGAATTGTCTGGATTTGGCCTCGTAGAGACCTCGTGGATTTGTAATGTTTTGCTGCTCCGATTCAGCCACGCATTTGAGATAGTAGCCTATTTGTCTGAGCTGACATCGAACCTCAGCCTATTTCAACACGCCAGCTATGAATAAATGATTGTCGACTAATTGGAACAGGTGGTAAAAGTTCTAAGAAGAGATAGCGACGGGAAAGGAAATCAACATTAGCATGTCCTTTTTATGCAATATGTATGCGTGTGTGTCCCTTGGGTTGAGCGCATGTGTATATAGGCCTATATGTTCCCCAACATATGTGCATGGTGATTGCACGTGTGCATTAACTACAATTTATAATTAAATGTAGTCTTTGAACTTCAATAATGTCAAGGCCTTCACCTTTAACCCGCTGCAATAAAGTGGAATCAAGGAGCCCCTTTAGCCCGGAAATGTGTGCAGCAGCGGAATGGGCCAATGGGAGTCAGTGGGAACAGAAAATGGAATGTGTACAGAGCCCAACTTTGACCCCTCGCATTAAACTACAGCAGGTAACTTGGCCAGCTTTAGCACGCCCAGTAAATACACTTTATTGTCCTTGTAAAATGTATACGTTTTCACGCATGAGACGTTTTAAAACATGTTGGTATAAACTGTAGACCTATATTTGTTTTTCTAAAGACAATTTGTTGTTGTTGTGTGCCTGTTGCACCGTGCTAAATCATAATGGGTGGTTCCTTTATAGGGCAAACATAACGGTTTGTGCGTGCGTGGGTATACGTGAGTCGGCCTATCCTTTGATATCTGTCTTTAGATGTGAAACCTGCTCATGCTGCTGTGCATGGATCAAGTGGATTTTACAGCGCAAACTATTGCATAGCTTTCTATTTACTTCCGAGTGTTTAATTAGATCTGGCTCGGTCAAGGTTCTGGCCAAGGGTTTTACATTATTTTAATGCAAATAAAGAAAAGATAAAAGGGAACGAAAACTCTTGTGGATATCCACGTAATACACACTTTTTAGTGCATGTATTAATGAACACCTGGCAGAAATCTTGCAGGAATTAAAGTTAGGTTCAATCTGCATATGTCGGTGTAATATCAGGAAGGACAGGTGGCTGTTCTGACAAAAGAAAGGCGATGCACACTAGCAGAGATCAAGGCTATAGGAGCCCCCATTTCGCCACACCCACCAACCTTGGCCCTGGGACGGTGACGTGGGCAATTTGTAGCCTAGGTGTCAGCAACACACAACGTCACTAATGTATAGGGCTGCAGAGGCTCCTGCAAATGTTGTCTATCAACCACACGAGGGCCAGGAGTATCCCTGCCTCTGCACTGTTTTGTTTCCTCAACGGGATCTTGAAAGCGTTTCCTGAGATGGATGCCTCGGTGACATCACAGTAGTATTATGAGTCCTCGAAACATCCACTTCGAGGTGTGTTTTGTGACAGAAGTACAGTCCACTCTGCTGGAATGCAGCTCCTGAGATCACTCATGTTTAGTTGTTGTGGTGGTGAAGGAAAATGGCGGTGTGTTTTATGTAGATGAGGCGAGCCAGGAGGGAAAGATGAAGCCTGGTGCCATTAAAATGCAAAAGGAAAATTGATTGATTCAGCTCCATAAAATCTGAGGAATAGTTTGAAAGAATCTCAGTTTTCGATATGATGCTATAAACTATCAATAAGACTTTATTTTATTTTTGGGAATTTAACTAGGCTATAAACAAAACATATCTACCTTTTGAGTCAAGGGAAAGGTGTGTATTCATATTGAAATGTGTAAGATAATTTACAATATAACAAAAATGGTTTGGCAACATTATAAACGTGCCTACTAACTGAATATAAAAACAAATTCGTTTCCATAGCAATAGAAAAAAAAAAAAGTTTAAATATATATACAAAACATAAACTATACACATATATAAATATTAAAATATAAAAAATACCTCGAAAATAAATACAAAATAAGGTAGATTATAGGGGGAATCTGCAAAAATGTGAAGTGTTTTCGTTTTTGTAACATTTCTATTTCTTTGTTGTTGATTTGAGGAAACTATTCATCGGTTATCATTTTTTTTTTTTTTTATTGTGTTGTAAATGTAGGGGTGTTCCTTTATTTTTCTCTACACGTCCTAATCAAAAGGGTTATAGGCTATTGAATGGTTTTATACACTACTATTCGCATCTCAGCACCTATCCTGTTCTATAGGGCCATAAAACAGTTCGACGCTGTAAAACGAGCTATTGCTGCAACCAAATAACTCAAAACATTTGAATTTACATTAGTGCATTTGTACGCTTCTATTTATTTATGGTTGCTACCAAGTTTAGTGTAACTGTAATTTGTCGTAAGTTTTAAGTCAGATACGGCGGCTGGTGTGTGTATCTGGTGTCGTCGACAGTGGCAATAATGTAGTAGGCTATGCTCTACTTTAAAGGCGGTTACCACTCTGGTTTTTAATTAAGAACTTACATGATTCTGGCACCATAAATTTGCAGTTGCGCATGGAGTGGACAGCAGCATGAGAAAGGACACAAAGCAGAACCGCCTCACGTCCAACTGCAAATATATCTCAAAGTGGCTGCCATGCAGGAGCAAATTAGTTGTGTCGCAGTGGATCCTGATTACAACATCCTTCTGCTCTGCAGCATTCAACACCCATACCTGTTTGCAATATAAGAACAGCCTCCAGGTTTGCAATCAATTGGTCGGCAATTTAGTGGCGAAAGTGTTGGCTCTAGTTTAGTGTAAGTGTAAAGACCGTGGTAAAATACAGTCGTGTGTGTGTGTGTGTGTGTGTGTGTGTGTGGGTGTGTGTGTGTGTGTGTGTGTGTGTGTGTGTGTGTGTGTGTGTGTGTTAAACTTTACTTAACGCTTACTGAACACCACATCTGCAAGGAAAACACATTACGAATTGTGTAGGAATGGACTTGTGGTATAGGCTACATGGTTGCGTTTGTGTTTCAATGATTGAAGTAGCCTACAACTGGATGGAGAGAAAAGCTGTGTGGAATGTTATAGAAGCAAAAAGGTATGCTTGCTCAGTCAAAACCTTTCCATAGCTTGGGAAGAGCCGTGTAGTTTTTATAACTCATCATATACTCCTACAACTGTAGAACAAGCCCAATCTACTCAAATATATATTCACGAATTGCCCGCTATTGAGCATGCAGCATCAAAGTCGTTTTTTAAGCAACTGTTTGCCATTCTCAACCCTGTATCATAATACTTTGTGTAGCCTATACACAATCTTGTGTGCATGTTACAGTCTCAGACCTTCTTTTATTACGCATGTGCCATGATAATGGTTATTCTATACTGGCAGTATACTGATAAATAACAAACTCGCCTACTACGTCTGAGGTCTCACAATGCCAATGTTAATACATTGTTCGGTCAGTGACATCACAATATTATGTAATTGCCACGGACATTCTGAAACTAAACTAACTGTGCCGTCACAACACGCACTCTACTGCGACATCGCCATAGTTATTCTCTAATTCTCTCATGTGTGTGAAATTCCAACAAGAATACTGTCCCACTCGTCATTACAGGCCTATGGTATAATAATACCTATTTACCTGACCCGCAATGCAGGATTATAATAGCAGGTCATATGTTCTCTGCGTCTCATTTGAAATGTAGGCCTATAGTTGTTATTTCGAGCTCTGTGCTTTTTGAAAAGTTGTATATAATTTGTTTTTATGTGCATGCCTTTTTCGTGCTATATGCTGAGTCGAAGGTAGCCTGCAGGCTAGGTGTGAATGTGTCATAAAGCAGATTTTGTGTGTGAAAGATTTTGTATACTATATTGGGTGTGTTTTATTAATTAATCCCACACAAATCAGAACGTATGGGGATTACAAAATATGTCAGAATTATTTAATTTAATAATCCTTTATTTTAGGATTGTCATGTTATTTGGAGGGAAAACGTCCTTCTCCAAATTATATTTTTAAGGAATATAAGGCCTACTCATCAGAACACGCCAGTTTTATAGTGTTATATTTGTAGTTTTAAAAGGGTCAAGAGGAACATGTTCTGCACACTCAAAGTTATACGTCCCTCTATATAAAACGCTTTTTTCATATTTAGCTATGAATGGCCCTATTTATTTCATAAATCTGTAGGATGTTGGTCATTGAGATAACATGAAATACACTCTTTATTGGTTTTTGCTTATTATTTATTTCAATTACATTCAAAGTACAACATGCAAAAACAGATTTTATTTCATGTGGAAACGTCATTGTACACACATATATAACAAATATGTAAAGAAATACAATTGTAATTGTACTCGGCATATCCTGCCCTTGCCTTTGGAAATGATTGTGAACTGAACACAGACAGACGGACTGACAGACAGGCGAGCGTGCAAACAAAACACAACTAGGACAGCAGCAGATTTAAAACTGGCTAGACGCATGCCATCATTGCCTGCATCCGTCTGGAAGTGTTTGCTAGAGAACTGTTAGTAATATTATTATTTAAAGACCAAAATGATTTTTAGACTCAGTCCTAAAACCTTATACGTGTTAGATGTGACATTACTGCAGTCTCAATGGCCGTTTGGAGGACTTTTTCAAATGGAACATTTTAGATAATATCTACAAGATATGAGATTAGTTTTACAAAATGTAGTTTTTATGTCAAATATGAAAAATAATCCAACAGTGTCCGCTTCTATATCATCATTCATTGTTGCATTTGTGCGGTAGAGATTTGTATCACGTTATCAAACTAAAACAAAAATTGTAAGCCTGTGAGGTTTTTGCAGCAGTGTGATTATCGCTCAATTCTGCGGGTTTGTTTGGACTAGATGTCCTTAAAACCTACTGATTGCAATATAGAAAACAGGCCTGGCACAAAGCAACACACACGAAACAAAGACAGCCAACACAACACTGTGGGTGAGAAAATAATGGAGGTTAGGCACGCACTTCATAGTTTTAACCTGCGACATTGACAGAAGAAGAATAACAATTCACACTTCCATGGTATATTCAATAAAACCTTCAATGTTTGTCCAAATTAATTAAATATTACACACACGTTATTGTATTTTCGTGAGTTTTAGTTTAAGTGTACTTAAATGTATACTGTATATACTGTATTCGAGATAAGTGTAGTTTCCTCATTTCGTCGTATTTACATTTCGCAACAGTCTACTCTTAAATATCGTAGCCACTGCAGCACAGCACATTTGTTAACCTTTTGCTACTGACAACTATATAAAAAAACATTGAACTGAACAGGACACATTTAAACTCAAACGATAATGTTGGCAACGTCTAAATAGTTTTAAGGAGAAGTACAATAGATACTAATCCACAGGGCGTGTTTAAATAAAGTCTCAGTGCATGAATACGCATTCATTTAAATGAGAGCCACACTTAATCGACATACCAGCTCTTCTGGTACAAACCTAATTGAAAAAAATAATACAAATAAACAGTAAACACCATTTCATATATTTACCAAAAATAAAAGCACATACAATTACAGAGAAAACATCCTGAAAACAATACAGAATTGTATATAGGCTAACGATAGCTCAGGCATGCAATGAATTATTTATAAGCCTGTAAGATATTTTGTGTGAACTGTAAAAAAAAAAAAGGGAAGCATTACTCTTGACGTAGATCTGTATGGTTTTCCTTTTACATCACAATAATAAATGTCCTTATAGGCCCTTCATCCACTGGCGCACATATTCCACAGTCTAGTTAATATGTTGTTGCTCATTTCAAGAAGAAAAGCAGTTTAACAACCGTTTGCGGCTTCTTGAGTATAAGCCCAGCCCAGTTAAAGTTAACTAATTGGTCTAACAAGATCTAATAGGTTTGCTTGTTAACGAATTCTATGTTGTAATTCTGTCGGAGTAGTAAAGTCATATGAAGAAAATATAAATATTCTGAAAGTCAAAAGAAAACACCTGACCGAAGTAAACGGTTTTCGTAATAATTCATAAAATCAATTTTTGTAAATATTAAAAAGGAGGACAGTAACACATTTCAAAAGATAATATAATCCTATTTTAACTGGTTAGGCAAAAGCGAACCTTTTTTTATTAATGTCAAGGGTTAAACCTAGTCTGCAACGACCTTTTTCAATTAAAAGTTTATAAAGTAGGCTACCTAGCATTTCTGGTATTTCTGTTAAGATTTGTTTTAATAGCACACCTGCGTACAACTTACCTTTCTAAATCGGTGTCAACAACAAAGCAAATCGACCAAAACAGACACGAAATGCACTCTCAAATGAATACTCCTCGATGGCTTCTCCACGTCGCTAGCGCAGTGAAGAAAAGACACGTTTTCTTTCAAATCAAAAGAAGTTCTTAACTTAAACCGAATATATTTTCGTTGGCAAAAGTCACGTAGGAAGTGCCTTAGAAAAATCCTACTGCAGCAGTCGCCCTTTGTTCCCCTGGTGTTGGCCTGCTGTCTTGGCCAGCGTTTGGTCGCTGGGTGGCGCTCTTGCTCCATTAAAAACCCTCCAGCTTCCCCAACTTGACCGAGCTGACGTCACGTCAGTCTGGAGCATCAAGGCCACATCCACGACGCTATTGGCCTAGAATTCACATGACATGTCTCCCAGCATCCATAATTATGTTACTGATATTTTACTCCTCCAAAAGATGTCAGCATCCTACTGTCCTTATTCTCCAGAAGAAATCCCGTAGTTCAGACTCGGTGGAACACACTTAACGATACCGTGTTGCCAAGTGCAAAAATGTCATGTCCGAATAACATAGCTCCCGGTAACTTCCTGATGGATTCCTTAATGGGAGGATCATCTTCCTTCAGAGGTGAGGGTTATTCCAGCAACCCCGGGATGTACATCCACACAGCTGCAGAGTACGGATATTCAGTGATGAGAAACATTGGGAAGGTTGGACCATCTTCACTCCCCAAAAGAGACGAGGTTCCTCCGGGCGGTGTGTCGCTCGGCGGCTTCCAGGATGCGTCCTACCTGTCAACACAGCTGGCCACATGGACCCCAGGCTCCAAAACCAGTAGGGACGAACAACCTGTTGCCCAGTGTTTACAACCCTGCTTGTTTCCAGCGGGCAACGTCAAAGAGGAGGCGTGTTGTTGCATCTATCAGGATGACAGCAATAAGGGCAAAGAGACAACAGACTCGGCCACTTACATCCGGCTCGGAGACAATAGCTCCCGGCCTGAGCAAACCGCCTCGTCCAGCGGCTGTTTCCAGGTGTTCAACGGAGAGAGGCCGCAGCAGGACGAGCAGCAGTTCCCCTCCGGCTTCTCTCTTACCCACTTGGCGACATCTGTTGACTCAGAATCGACACTAAGTTGCAGTAAATCGGCGCAGGATACAGCGAGAGAGGTTTTAAACACAGATGAGAGTCAGAGCAGGAAGGAAGAGAAGGCCAAGAGTGACAGCTGCTCAGATAACTCGGACGGGGAATTAAAAGGTAGACGACTTTACCCCCTCCTCTTCCTCATACCTTACGTACACTCTCACACAAATACACATTCACGCAAAACGTGCTTACAAAAACTATTTTCACACGTGTATTAATTATATCAGTGCTGTGTGTGCATGCTGTGTTGTGTCATGACCCAGTAGGCTAATGTAGACTTGTGTTTGAAAGCAGTCATATTGGCTGCATTTGACAGGCCTGCTTGGCAGGGGTTATGGTTCCCGTGGCATTTAACACCTTTCCTTTAATTTGAGAATGTGAGATGAGCAGTTATCATCGAAATAAACACGCTCACACGCACGCACACACGTTATCACATTCTTTGTTTCTGTTACATTGGCCAATTACGTTGTGAAACTTAACCATTTTAACATTGCCAATTGTACGCATCAAAATTGTGATTTTTAGCCAACGTAAAACTATACAGCTTAGCTCCATCAGAAAAAATCGTTTGTAAAAATTACCTTGTTTTTTTTTAAAAAACCGAACAATTCTCCCTTATTTTATTCTTCAGAAATCATTTATAATTCGCTGTACGGATAATTAACGATAAATCAGTCCCGTTTTTAAAACATAATTTTCCACGTCTGAGACATTTTCTTTCATGATCATTTCCTTCATGCTAACAGCGGCTCAATAAGATTCGGGCAAATTTGTCGTCTTCCGTTTGACAAAATTATATATGTACTTTAGCAATAACAACTTTATTAACTTTTTTTGAATAGTTTTTTTTAGTCAACTTCAACGATTGGTTGATAATAATTAAAACCCACACACACCACACACTCACATTTAACCGTTGGAATAATTGTTGCCATTAGACTGCCCTTATAATGGATGCTAGTAATAAAGCAAACAGAGGTTCACCCTTCTGCTACATTTCTTTAACTCTTTTTTAAAATGAGTTCCAATTTCATGTGTAGGCTAAGTTGCGAAAAATACATGCATGCAATAGGATCTGTCTGTGTGTGTGTGTGTGTGTGTGTGTGTGTGTGTGTGTACGCCTCTGCTTGTCTGTGTACGCAAAAGGGGCGTTATTCCCTTGAGCCTGCAACCTAATCAAGAAATTACCAGCGGTGTGTGTTCCCTGCTAATACCGACATAACTGTTTTGCTCAATCTGATATTATGCTACAGAGACTTTGTTTTGTTTGGGATGAACCTCCAAAAAAAAAATTGACTCCGGCGTGCAAAGGTAATAACATTTTATGGGAGTCTGAGGTCCAACACAGACAAAAGAAGTGCTTACACACCCTAGCTTGATTTGATCTAATTATAGCTGTACATCACACAAAGGCAATTTGAAAGCAGTAGGAGTTGAAGCAAAAGCTGGGATGTTCGACGTTGTTCATTCGTTCAAGGGAGAGTGTCGGAGGGTCCACACCGGTTAGTCTGGTCTTCTAAACTATTTTGATCCAGATCAACGTTAGTGAATGGACATGTGAGATATGGGCGTGGACATAGCATCTAGCGTACTCATGGAGGCTGCATGATTTCTGCACAAAATTACTCTCCGGATTTGGCCACATTTGTTCATCGTTGTCTTTTTTTTTGCTCCGGTAGATGATTTATCCGCGGAAAAGACACCGGGAAGCTGGTTAAAAGCCAAAAGTGGAAGGAAGAAGCGCTGCCCCTACACAAAGCACCAGACGCTGGAGCTTGAGAAGGAGTTCTTGTTCAACATGTATCTGTCTCGGGAGCGCCGCCTGGAGATGAGCCGGAGTATCAACCTGACCGACAGACAGGTCAAGATCTGGTTCCAAAACAGACGCATGAAGCTCAAGAAGCTTAGCAGGGAGAGCCGAGAAAGGGGGCACAATGCAGTTTATAACTATTCCTGAGGACATTTAAACCACACATACACTCACACACATACACATACACATACCCACACATATGCATTTACATGACAGGTATATACAGACATGCATGTGTAATCTTATGCATTCAGTATCATAGGCTATCTATATAATTTATCTATATGCTCACTTACACGCTAAACATACACCGAACACACATTCACATATCCACAGCGTACCTTCATTTGAACTAGCTGCAGACTACTTGAGTAGCTACCAGGTGAACACTTGCAACAGCGTTGGAACGATGAGGTGCAATTACCTTCCGATGATAATTATAATATAACATGAAGCAAACGAAAGGAGGAGGCAATCCCAATCAGTCTATAAATAAGTCTTGGCATTTAAGCAGTTTTATTTTTCTGAGCTATAATGAATGTTAAGCCACTTGTGCCGCTTCTTCGTTGGTGTCTGTTGCTTTGGCATAGCCGTGCAATGTAATGGGCATGCACAAGACGATATGAAGCTCATGGCAAACCATTCAAAAACAATAAAAGGAGGGGGAAATGGAAAGGTATTACCAACTTTGTCCTTCCCCTGGCATAGTGGTGCAAATGAGAGGGAGGGAGAGACACTGCGGATGAGAAAAGGGAGATCATGGCAGTTTTAATAGAAGAGAGAGACCATAACGTTGATTTAAATATTATCCAGGTGACCACAGTAAGTCAAGGTCATAAAATTCTAATGTCAGGTTCGCCCTGGAAAGCGTTGGGGGTGGATTTTATGATCTGCAAATATAATGTGCTGCAGCAGTAAAGATGCGTTTAAAGGTGTGTGGAGGAGGGCTAATCCACACAGCAGAGACTGCAATGTGCAGGATCCAGCCGGGGCGCTGGGCTGGAAGAAGCAGCCGCCTCCACCCAGGATAATGGATCTTCATGGGAGCAGGAGATAAGAAAGATGGTGGATAAAAGGGACCGCGACGGCTGCAGGAACAATAACAACAGGCATCACGGCAAAACACGTGGATAACTAAACACACCGGGAAAGCGTCTGCAGGAAGCGAGTGAAGGTAGGACTCACATTTGATGTAATATTGTTGTTTCCTGTTTTGGAAAGTATGCCACATCTGTCACGGGGAGCTTGCTTGACAGCTCTTGTGAAACGCATGGTGCACGCCTGCACATGTCGATAGTTTATAAGTTGTTGATCAATCAGCGCTGCTGATCTCTGTTTTATTTCTCTTCTCCTCTCCTCTATTCTGCTTTTACAATGCTGGTTGATTCATATTTTTTCTTTATGTTTCTGGGTATACAAAAACATTGTATTTTCTCATATTTTGTAACTGCCGAATTACTTGATGTGGTGTGCTGCTTCTGTTATGGGTTTAGAACAAAAGCACTTTAAAACTGATGCTGTTTTTATGAGCAAACGAGTAAAGGCATGCCGGGCTATAAAAATTGTTATTAGAAAGTATGATATCTAGCGCTTGTGGATCATGTTATGTTTTATTGTGTTGGTACTCGCCTTTCTCTTTGTGCTGAATAGTGTTAATCCTCTCTTGGATTTTGCATATTGTCCTTTCCATGGATTTTAAACCCCTTTGCGCGAAGCTGAAGCGTGGTTTAGGTAGTTTCATGTTGTTGGGGTTGGCTTCCTGGCTCGGCAACAAGAAACTGCCTTGATTACGTCAGTTCGTCTTCATCAAGGGCACCATTTCCGCTGAATTACCCCCTCACCCAGGTCCCCGCAAATGGCATTGTAAATGAACTGAGCTGCAATACCTTGGACAGAGACGCTTTCTTTCTTTGCTGTTATTTTGTGGCGGGCTGTAAACCCTTCCGAGGCTCTCAGAAGGAGAATAGGTTGTAAACAACATGGGGTAAAGTTTTAGACTGCGTTGTATTGCATCTGTCATCACTGGCTGTCTGCTGTGGTTTAGTGGTTTCAGCTGCTTTATGATGATCTGAATAGAGAGATGGGTTGATACCAGTAGATAGATGCCACATATTTGACTCTTTCAATTATCTGACAAATTAATCAGACTTCACAACAGGAAATGGTTGCGTATTGACATTTCCATCATTTTATGTGTTTGAGCATGTGTTGTTCCTGTTAATGCTACTCTGCTGCTTTAAATGTTTTATTCCAAAATGTCGTGCAATTCAATTTTTCACTTTGTTGCAGTGTGAGGTGGTGTACAATTAAAACATATTTGATACTTTATTATTTTAAAATAATTTTTACTTTGAAAGTATTTTTTTACCACAAATGTCAACAAACATAACAACACTTACACTCGCAACAATCGTCCCATTAGAATTCACATTTTGGTAATTGAGGCCTATTGGATTTCTCTTCAGGAATATTCTTGCAAACATTATTTTTGCACATCAAACAGTTTAAGTCGACATGTCATGCTTTAGGTGTCCTTTATCTTGTTTAATGTTTGCATTTAAACTTTCTCTTTTTATATTGTTTTTGCACGAACCTTTATCGGGCTGATGCGTTTATTTTGTATTTAGTTAAATATATTATATTACCCTAATTTTGATCAATAAAGAAACAACAGTTTTAAGATTTTGGCGGAGTGTATTGATAATAATACTTCTATCTTATTTTGATTAGAATAGCATCACTGATATATCATATTGTAGTCCAATAGCACTAACTTAATTGATTAACGGAAAATAACATATTGTTATCGATAGCACCTCCTATTTCCATTTTATTATTAAGATAATGTATGTGCTAAACAGCTGTGGATTAATATCGGCCATTATGTGAAATAAAAATCCTCAGAAAGTGATGAGTTTATTTTAAAAGGAAGAAAACGTAAAAGGTCTGTTTGTGTGTCGCAGTCAGCATTTTTCCTAAGGCAGTGTTTATCCTGTTCACAATTTCCCCTTGTTTTCTCAGCCCCCCTCCCCGGTAGTGCAACTGGAAGAGACAGTCTGGAATCCAAAGTCACTTTCATTCAGCTCAGTGAATGAGGGTCTCCCTTGGAATGCATCACTGACAAAGACTTTACAGCGCTGGAAACAGCCCCGAGAGCTGCGCAGATTCACCCTAAAACCATATACACATAAAGCCATTTATTTCACTTTGTAGTGGCGCACAGGAACTAAAGGCTTTAGTCTGCCACTTCCTCCGGACAGCTGAAGATGTGTTACTGCCACTGATCAGACATGAGCCAAATATTCTAACCGCTTTACTTTTTTCCCACTCTATTTTGACATTATTATTATTATTAGCTTTATTTTAGGATATTTATGAGGAAGTTATTGTTAGTTCGTTTTTTGCTATATGGACCATGAAATTAAGAAACGATGGACACTAGCTTTCTTTCATTGGAACATCTTCAGATGTTTTATTTCTTTGAAGATTGCTGAATAAATTGCATTTAATATGCCGCTTTCAGCAACAATTTATCTACAATTATTCATTGGGGTTTATTTTATCGGTATGATTTGAAACTGGCGATCAGCTGTGCAGCAGAAACAATACTTAGTCATTTTTTTTAATTCAAAATCAATGGATTATTATCACTTGCCGGTATGATTTACTTCGCCTCTTTAATTGAGAAAAACTGTAGGACCAAAATGCAAAATGTGCGACAGTCATCACCATGAGGATATCTTCAGGCCTATTGATCAGCATTATTTCTCAGCACATGTGTTGAAGAGGGAGGGGTTTGCTTTTAGGACAATCTTAATAAATAAACTAGGAGCAGTGTTATGATGAAACTGTTAAATGCAGCGGTTATCGAGGACATTGATGCTTCAGTTTGGATTACAAGGTTCTGCTGAGCACATGGGTCTTTATAAATAACTTTTCATATCGACTTTGAATTTGTTATGTAGAGTTTCAGCGCGTATAATAGGATCCAAATGCTGCACACATTTGCTTTTATTTATTTGGTTAAATTGCATCGTGAGCCTGTTTTAAGAGACTATTTGTTTCTTGTGTGCTTTAAGGGGAAAATGCTGTGACTATTTCTCGGAGGAAATTACACTTAATATCTTCATTATTGACAGTAGCTAACTAATACTCCTCCGCCCTGTCGTCACGCAAGCTAGCAAATATGACCGCATGTGTCTGATGGGAAATTCATGTTGCAACGAACTAAGAGCTTCAATTCTTTGTTTGTTGTTCATGTAACCAGCAATCACACAAATGTGTTGTGAGGACGGAGGTGAAAACAAACAATGTTCAGACTCCCATGACAATGAAGATGGATTACAGTTACCTTAACAGGAGGTGTGTTGGTCTTTAACAGCATGTCGAGCTGTTTCTTTATCTGTTTTATGATTATAATAGTACAAAGAGAAATCTGAAGCATGTGATAATCTCACATTTGAACATGCATACTGGGCCGGTCTGGGGAATGGGACTTGTTGTTTAATCTATTTTCAGATGAATCATCTCAATTGAAGCTGCAATTTTCAATAATTATATTTTTTTGCATGTTAACCCTATAAACCGATTTAGGTGATGTAAGCAATTAAACCAAAATGATATTTAGTCAGTAGATCTAACGGCATATTTCCTAAAACACTACTTTTTGCCAATACATCCAAATTCAAACATCACTGCACTGCGGCGGCGCTCATGCAAAAAGACTTAGTCTTACTTTAAATGTTTTTGCCCGTTAGCGTCGACCATATGTCTATATGGGCAAAAAGCTTTACATAACTTAATTTAAGTTTAAACAGAAAAAACATTGTCAACCTCAGTAAAGCTGTGATCATGCGATAAGTAGGCGTACTAATATATTTTACGTTATATTGCACAAGAAGAGTTGTCTATATTAAAATGTGTGTATGTGTTAAGAGAAAAACCGAATGGTATAGCTGAGTAATATGAGAGCCAGTTTCAAGCATTGTTATCGGCATCAATTGATTAGTTGGTTATAGCTTATGAATGAATTTGCATTTGATCAAATCCAGCTCATCCCTGATCCCGTACAAAAAAAACAGAAGCATACGTGAATATGAAAACACAAAGTGCTACATATACTTTTTGAGATTAAAAAAGCTTATAGGCACATTTGTGATTTGGTAATTTATTATAAAAATTGACTTGCATTGACTATAGACGATCAAACACCTCATCTATATGCAAATCATCCCAACTTTCTGTGTGGTTTGTCTTATTCTAAACGAGCACTGTTGCTTTATTTCTCAATTTACATTATTTATTTTCATACATAACTGATACTGGATTATAAATGTTTAAAACAAAATTGTCTGAACAGTGCTTTTGTTTGCCAAATAAGGCTGTGGTGTGTCGGGGAAATGTTAAAGAAGAAGTTAGATACTTAGATATTAAATACACAAAAGTAGCGATGCAAAAAACATGCCCTTTAAGATTTTACTGCCGAAGAAATGTTGCAAGTTCACTTGTATTTACGGAGAACAACAGTAAAAGGCAGACATATCAGAGATAAGAACCAACAACAAAGGAATATTTAATTATGCATTTTTTTTTATTGTAGCACAACACAAATCACATATGGATAAAAGAGTTGAATAGATAAGACATTGTAAGAAACAAACATTGTCACTTGTTATAGATCTCTCTCTCTCTCTCTCTCCCCC